TCTATCTATCTATCTATCTATCTATCTATCTATCTATCTATCTATCTATCTATTTCTGTGGTGGTACATTGAAATTAGGGCCTTGAGCTTGTGAAGCAAGCTGCATCCTGCTGAGCTACATTTCTAGCCCTGAGGCTTCTTTTATAAGGGCACTATCTTATTCATGACCTAATCGCCTCTCAAAGACCCCACCTCTTCATACCATCTCTTTAGGGGTTAGGCTTTCAAAGTATGCTTTTTAGGAGGACACAGCATTGAGACCATAGTAACTAGATGTGTGAAAGTTTATTTGTGGTCTCTTTATTACACTGATCTCTATGTCTTTGTGTTAGAACCATAGTGTTTTGARTAGTATAGCTTTATAATAAGTTTTGAAATTAGAAAGTGCGAGACCTCCAACTCTGTTTTTTTTCCTTGTATTTTTTAACATTAATATTTTCTGCCTTGTTTCTTTATAAAAGGTTAATAGTGAATATTTAATTATGGTGTGAGGGATTATTGGTATTAAAACTTTTTTTCCCATGTCTTTACTTTTTTTTTTTTGTGGTAGAGAGTATTAAACTCTTTTATTCAAAGGTATGTTGAAGGTTGGCTCTGCTTAATAACTTAAAACTAATATTTTGTTGAACTATAATGGGAAAGCCAAGAAAGAAAAAGAAAATGATAGTAAGGAAAAAAGAGATAAATACAATTATCTGTAAATATTAAGCCTCCTGCCGACAGCCATGTGAATGAGCTTGGAAACACATCCTTCAAATCTAGTCAAGTCTTCATAATCTGTAACTTTAGTCCATAGCTTATTACAACCCTATGAGAGACTCTGAGGCAGAATCACTCACTTAGCTGCTGATTCTCAAAAACAATGTGAGAGAATAGATACTGTTTTAAGATGCTACTGCTGAGATTGAGAGTAATTTATTGATTGTGCCTTTGGCTATCATTCTTTACGTTCACAACATTATTAAAGACTACAAAGAACTTATTTTTGAGGGGATTAAGAGGAAGTTATATCAATGGATACTTATAAATTAAAAAGAAAAATTAGCAATCATTRTTATTTAAAAACAACTCATAAATATTAATATAACTATTCTTAGAAAAAAAGATTATTTTTCAAAACACAAGAATTCAGTAAGAATAGTGAAATCTTTACAAGCCTCTTTAATGTCTGGTTTAATTTAGGATGGATACTTATGCTTCTATGTTCAGTCTGTCATGATGTTTAAAGTATATGAAGAAAATTTAGTCTCATGCACATATGTAGTTGGAAAAGGGTAGAATGTTTTAATATCTTTGTGAGATAATTGTAGCTATTTTTATCTGATACTGTACTAAAATCTGATAAGTGATAATTTCTCAAAGTTTAATTGCAATGTTTGAGCCCAGGGTAGAGTATACTTTTTTGTACCCTGTAACATTAAAATTTATTGGTTCATCTTGCTTTTTGAATGGATCTTTTGCTGTGCATCATACATTAGTCACATGGCAAATATTTGTTCACTGAGATACTCAGATCTTTCACATGTTGATATGTTTCATTGTACAATATAAATACAATCATATTATCAGTATCACTATCATTCCTAGGGTAGGCTTTCAGCATGAGGAAGCTRTCAAGTTCATAGAGGTGGACACAAGTTTCCGTAAATTGGAAACTTCATTTAAAAGCCTGAATTTTAATATTGGCATTAAATTCTACCATTTATATTCCTTGATTTGACAGGTTATCTTTCTATTCAAGTAATTGGTAGAATTGTCATTCTTTCCAAAGAAAAATAATGTTTCAAAAAAAGTGGTCAGTTCAGTTTATAACTCAATTATGAGTATTTTTTCTTCTGTAGCTGTATTATATTTTGGTATGCATTAGAAGTGGTTCATTTTTACCTCCTATTTTTCAGAGTTTTCTTTTCCCTTGTTACTGTAAATTTTACTGCTATGGACATTCATGTATCAGTATTGTGCATTGTGAAAAAATTTCCTATGCTATATACCCACAAGTAAATTTGCAGAGTTGTAGGCTACATACATGTTGAAACTGATTAGGAACCTCAAYCACTTTTCCAAATAATTTTACTGCTTTGCTATTACCCATTTTTCTATCAACTCTTGATGTTGATGTTTAAAACTTCCTCTGTGGCGATACCATTCTCTAGTAAACCTCTGCATCTCTCCCATTTTTTTTTCACCTGCCAAACTATATATAGGAGATTTTTATATAACAATTTATTTTATCTTTGTATGTTAGTTTTATTTTTAATTTTTTTGAAGTCACAACAAATCTTCCACCCTTTGGAAACCAACTAGGATAAATAGAATAGCAATTTGCATGTGGTGGATGTTTATCATCAGTGAGRTATTTTTGAAATACTAAACTACTATAAAAGACATGATTTGACATTGATAAATGAAATAGACAGCCATATAATCAAGCAAAGATTGTGTATATAGTGGTCTCTCTGTATCCATTAGACACTAGTTCCAGGACCCCTGCCCCATACCAAAATCCTTGGGTGCTCAAGTTTTTTATATAGAATGTAATAATACTTGCATTAACACACATCATTCTATCTTGTTGAAGGGCATTTAAGTTGGTTCCATAGTTTAGCTGTTGTGAATTAAGCTGCTATAAATATTGATGTGACTGCATCACTGTAGTATGCTGATTTTAAGTCCTTTGGGTATAAACCTCGGAGTGGGGTAACTGGGTCAAATGGTCATTCCATTTGAAGTTTTCTGAGGAATCTCCATACTGCTTTCCATTATGTTGTACCCATTTGCAGTCCCACCAGCAATATATGAGTGTACCTTTTCCCCCATTCTTGTCAACATTTATTATTGTTTGTAATCTTGATAATTGCCATCCTGACTGGAATGAGATGAAATCTTAGAGTAGTTTTGATTTGCATTTCTCTAATTGCTAAAGATGATGAACATTTTTTTCATATCTTTCTTGACCACTAGTATTTCTTCTTCTGTGAGTATCTGTTCAGTTCCTTAGCCCATTTATTGATTGTTATTTGTTTTTTTGATGTTAAGTTTTTTGAGTTCTTTATATATCCTGGAGATTAGTGCTCTATCTGAGGTGTGTGTGGTAAAGATTTTCTCCCATTTTGTAGGCTCTATCTTCACATTATTGATTGTTTCCTTTGCTGAGAAGCTTTTTATTTTGATTTTCCATCCCATTTATTCTTTTTTTTTAATATATTTTTTAGTTGTGTATGGACTCAATGCCTTTATTTGTTTTTA